GAGAAAGCCGGTCACGAGCACGCAGCCAGCACGGGGCCTGGCACAGAGGTGACCAACAAACATTCTTCCCCCTCCCTCACGCCCTGCTGCCTTGGGGTGGCCTGATGTTACCATGTCAAATTTTTAGTCTTGGAGATAGTGTGTCCAGGGCTAGAGTCCTCAATTTCTGACCCACTGATCACCCCTCTGTGGCAGCCACCATTCCTCATGTGTTCCTGAGAGAGATGGGATATAGACGTCACTCCAGGGAACCACACCTTTCATCACTAGCAGGGGCTGTTTCTGGGGCCTGAAGTGGCTGCTGTGAGGACTACTTAAGGATGCTCTGCTCCTGTCCTGGTGTGGGAGAGCTTGCTCCCCGTCTTGTGCTCTGCCTGGAAAGTACCTTAGAAAAGGTGAAGTGGATTTGAGGATTTTAACACAAAGCCTAAGACTGCATATATGGGTGTTTTAACTAGGAATAAATAATCTTCTAAAGTTAAGATTCCTTGCATAGGAAGTGAAATTTACCATTCGGTACCTTGAGAGATTAAAAATAGAAGCTTGAGAAGCTTTATCGATCTATCTGCCAAAGTAAAATATTGTTTGTGCTGGTGGAGTCTGGCCCATGGTCCTGGCAGGCTGCAAGTGAGGGTGGATGGGCACAGGTGTTGAGGCCAGAAAAAGCCCAGGATGCCGCTGCTCCCTCGAGCTACACATGGCTGTGAAAATGCTGTTGGGGCAGGGCTGAGCGGCCTTTGCATTCCCACTTCCATGGACCAGGAGGAGAGGAAGTGGTCAGGGACACAGGGGGACCTGGGAAAATGCTCTTGGTCTCAGATGGGCCCTGGTGATGCTGGGGCACTGGACAGGCATCTCCATCCCAGGGCCGCTCCCTGGGGAGACAGTAGGGTACAGGGGAATGAGTGTTTGACTTGGAGTCATTCTATGGAGTGTGTGACTTGGGGAAAGGCATGTCTGTGAGCCTCAGCATCCTTATCGTAAGATGGAGGTTGTAAAACACATTTTTAACTGTGTTCCATCAGATGTTCAAGACCTTCACACTTGGTTATTTGTATTACAAGGTGGCCCAATAATACCAAGCCAAATCTGTAGTCTTGGAGACAAATCGTATCCAAAACTAGTGTCCTCAAAATCTCTGACCCACCGAACCACCCCACTGTGGTGACTTCCATTCCTGATGTGTTTCTGAGAAAGACAGCACACAGAAGTTATGCACCTTTTATTGCTAGCTAAGATAGAACCCCAAATCCCTCTGTGGTCTGTTCTAGAGCACTGAGCCATATGTCTGCTAACAACTTGATTTGCCCCCTTAGTTAAAAGCTAGTTCATGTATTTTTCATTCATTGATTCATTCATCATTTAGTGGATGTCTTTTATGTGCTAAATGCTGGGCATAGGGGCCTCCAAGTTCTGGGGCATGAGATCATCTCCCAGACCAAACTAGACTCAAGGGGAAAGGCTGTTGCCAGGCTTTCATGAGCTATATAGTATATTAGATTCAGAACTTCCAAGTTGCCTGCAGTCATCAGAATCCCCAGCACCCCATCCACCTGGCGGTGTGAAGGGCAGACATGTTTGGGGCAAGTGTGAACAGCCCTTTCTCAAGGGAGGTGGCTTATTGTAGCAACTTTTGTCCTGAAAAGTCCTATGCAGTGTAGAAAAACTTTCTTGCATTGTGTGATATTTAGCAACCACACTTAAACATTTAAGAATTCAAGTTGTATTGAACTTGAAATTTTTGTCAAAACTAAAAGCTCCTAAATTTTTATATGAAATGGGAGGAAGCATCCATTCTCATTCTTCCTGCCCAAGGCCTGCTTCTAGAGGCTGTGTCTGGAGGCCTGGCTGTGCATCAGAGGTATTGCCACCCCATGGGTGAGGAAGCTAGTGGATCATGCAACTGTGGCTGCTCAGAGCCATTCTGCCTTGAAAGGGTGAGTGCTGACCCTGAGGGAAAGGCATTACGTATAAAGCGTTTTTTGTTTGTTTGTTTTGTCTGAGTCCTTAGATCTCCTTTAAATCAATAACAGGGTCAATAATATAATAATTTGATGTGACATATTACAATTCTAACTCAACAGGAATTCCATTGCTGGTAGCAGGAGTAAGGACTCATTTCTTTTTTGCCTCTATATCCAGGTTACTTGCAACCCCGGGATCTGCCTAGCCGGGGTGTTCTTCCCTTTGTCCAAGGCCTTCTTTGTAACACCGGGTCCAGGTGCAGAAACATCAGCTATGGAGGGTTGATGGAGCACCATCTTCGGTAAGAGAAACACAAACATCCTTTCCAGAATTCCCAGAAACCTGATGCATAGAACAGGCATCATGCTTTTCGTAAAGCCTCAATAATTTGGGACAGGTTAGAGAACATAGAAAGTATGGAATTTAGAGTTAAAAGACAATCAGTTTTAATTAAGTTCAGAGTCACATACTAATGGCTCCAACTCGTGGTTAGCGTCCAGTAGGAGATTGTTTCACTGCTGTTTTGAGACTCACAGAGCAATCGCTGATTAGTAAATGCCATTTTTGCATGTAACAGTTTCCTTTCTGTAGGTTAAAATCCTGACCTCAAAATCACTGGCTAGGCCAGCTTTTCATTTTGGTGCCAAATGCCTGCCCAAACAAGTATCTTTTGAGCTACTTACTGGGTTTTTCTTATTGTGCTATTAGTTGACCAGTATCCTATCCCCAGCTGAGATCAAATGGAAAGTCACCCCTTATTCTTCATATAACCATCTCAATGCACTACATGACAGGTAAGTTGCCTTCTCTGATTCTCTCAATGCTGAGCTATGCCTGCAGGTGCCTACGGTGTCAGTCAGCATTGAAAATCAAGAAGAGAAAGAGCAGGAGGGATTTCATGTGAGAAGAGTCGAGGCGAAGGGGTTTAATTGGGAGGATCCTGATTGCTTTGGAAACTTCTCCCAGGTGAAGTTAGGAATGGAAGGAAGTGATGAGTTGATCATGATAATTTGACTTTATCAAGTATGAATGATCTGGGTTTTATTTTATCTGTACTTACTGGTATTGAATAATCTAACATATTTAAATATCAAGCAAATGTTAGAACCTATGATCTTTATCTTTCAACTTATAGTTATAAGAGAAAAATTGGAAGTTTCCGGATAATTCTGGACACATCTGGCACAATATTTATAAATGGTGCTGTGTTAGTCCAGTTGAGCTGCTGTAACAAAATACCATAAGCTGGGTGGCCTATAAAACACAAGCATTTATTTCTCATAGTTCCGGAGGTTAGGAAGTCCAAGATCAGGCTGTTAGCAGAGTCCATGTCTGGTGAGGGCCCTTTCCTTATGGATAACGCCCCCTAGCTGTGTCCTCACATGGTGGCAGGAGGCCAGGCAGCATTCGGAGGCCTCCTTCACAAGGGCACTAATGCCAGCATGACGACCTAGTCACCTCCCCAAAGGCTGTGCCCCCCAAAAACCATAATCTTAGTGGGGGACATATACATTCAGACCACAGCAGGTGTTTACTGTTTTTGAGAAAGGCCATACAAAAGTGTGACATGAGAGAATCATTTGAAAATAGTGTAAAATCATAACCCTGAAAAGTTTGATGATCGTTTCTCGTGTGTGTGGTGAAAGAAAGTATACAAAGCTCTACCTTTCTGGGAAGCAATAGAAGAGCTTGAGACTTAGTATTTTCATTTCAGATCTTTCTTGTATCTATTCCTCACTCAGAATGGGAAGTTTAAATGATGTTGAAGAAGAAAGAACAGGACTTTGCAGCCAAACAATACTGGCTTTGTTACCTTTTGGTTCTGTGAATCTGTGCAAATTAACCTCTCTGAATCTCAGTTTTCTCACTTACTTACTTCAAGTGTCGTGAATATTAAAGACAAAATACGGAAAACATGTAGCATGATGCGTGGAACAGAGCATTCAACCAATGGGAATTAATAATAACAAATTCTTATCACTATGGCTGTAACAATTATAAAATATTATTTGACATCAGGAAATAATCTTTTTTCTCTATGTTTTTCCATTTCAACACTCTCACTTCAATGTGTAGAAACTCAGGAATTGTAAAAGCAACCTCTTTACA